ATTTTGGTTTGGTTTCACCTTTTACTTAGCATGTTGCTGCTGGATTATGTTCTCCTCCTCTGATATTCTGTTACTGTGTTATTTTTCAGGAGTATGGACCAACTTCTTAAATCACATCCAATGGAAGTCAGATTGCGCCATTGGCACAACCACCCCATCATGTCCACTGATGCTCTTCGATTCAGGAGACCGAGTAAAGCTACCAAAGAAATTTTCTTAGACTACTACAAGAAAGGACATACGCCATCCTCTGCTCTTAAGTGTCATAAATTTGATCTTCAAGTAGAACATGGTGATGAATTTTTCAAAAGCCATGCTGATGGTTCCATGTGCCCAAATTTGAACTGGTGCTACTACCAATATTATAAAGTGTTTAAAGCTGTTTATGGTGAAAATTATGGTGATGGGATGGTCACAAAGCTGAAAGAGGTCATTGATGATTATAATGTAAAATGTAAATCCCAATGTGCAGATATTGCAATTGACAATGATGACATTGTTGTTGTTATATGTTCTCCTCTGATGAAGAGAGTACATGAACTCCTGAAGTCTTCCTCTGAAGTGGTCATAATGGACTTCTCAGGGAACATGGACCGATATGACACAAGGGTTGGGTTTTTAATAGCCCCTAGCCTTGCAGGTGGCTTACCTCTTGGTGTCATCATGACTTCTGCAGAGACCGAAGCACTAATTACCACAGGGCTGCAGATGCTACAGAAGCTGTATCCAAATATTTCTTTCTTTGGAAGAGGAACAAATGGCCCTAAGGTCTTCATTACTGATGATTGCAAAAAAGAAAGGAACAGTCTATCTTTTCTGTATCCTTTGGCTGTTCTTCTTTTATGCCTCTTTCATACCTTACAAGCATTCTTAAGGTACATCATAGCTTCTGAACATGGGGTCAAAAAAGAAGATAGAGCTTTAATCTATGATGCCTTCAAAAATCTGGTCAGGTCAAAATCAGAAGAAGAGTATGACAGCCAATATGAAGATTTCAAGACTAGTGAAGTGCTGCTTCGAAACCAGAAAATCTACAATCATGTGACAAAGGACCTTCATCCTCGCCGAAAAGAATGGGCTTTGTGTTATCGATCTGACCTAGTAATACGTGGTAACAACACCAGTAACCTTGCCGAGGGCAACTTCCTCCAAGTGAAAAC